TGCTAACAATCAGAACATGAAGAATGCTGCCCACATACCATAGCACCCACAGACTCCATCCAGGTGGGAGAGACGGCTGCAGAGGGCCTGGGCACTGAGTCTGAAATGGTCCACGTTGCTGGAGCCAGTGGCTCCATGGCCACAGAGTCCTTTCATGCTCCCAAGACCCATGAGAAGCTGTGGAGGCTAGAACTAGGGGAGGGCAGGCAAGGCTTTCTTTTGTTTACAGCATCCCCATGTCACATTCCCCAGTGGGCTGGGGTGTGAGGGACCCAAAACACTGCCATTCACTCCAGCAAACATCAACCCACACACACACACACACACACGCACGCACAGACCCTGGCATGATGGGACCCACTGTCCATCCTCATCCCAGGACTGTTTACTCTCCCAGCACGGAGAAGGCAGAGAGCTGAGACAGGGTCCAAGCCCACTGCTTGGCAGCTGCTCGTCACTTGGCTATGCCTTGGGTTCCTTATCAGCTGCCATTGGTATAGCAGCCCCTCTCATGGTTGCCACAAAGATTTCAAGAGACAGAGCATTTGCATCTTGTCTCCTCTCCACATAGAGTATGGTGGGACAAGTGGGTAGAGGGGGGCTAAATATTCTTGGGTTTTAACTGGCCTCATGGATTTAAAAAGGCATACTCACTGCTAGTGAGCTGGCATCTGGGATGGGTGTTTGCACCCTGGTATTTCCTTGTGCAGAGGGCTTACTCCATGGGCGTGCTGGCCACAGGAATTTCCTGTAGTAGCCCTGTCCTAGAGCATGGCATCTTCAGAGGATGGCTCTGAGGTAGGTGCGGTAGCCACAGTTCTTGGGGTCATTGTTCTAGTAGACAGATATGGTCTGCTTAAGCTCAGTGGCCTGTCCTGTCTGTAGTCTTGGAGGTTGGAAGCTGACCATGGGTGCAGAATTCAGATCTGCCCACTGCGTTCAGACCCCCAGCACTGGACAGCCCAGCCATTCAGCCTGGCTGGCCTGCTGTGATCTGGGCCCCCTCCAAACACGGCCCCTCGGTGGAAACTCCACATGGGCAATTTAGAAAAGGCTTTGGAAGTGATTCTCCTCTGGCTGAGATAATAGTACTTTCCACAGGGACAGTATGCTGGAGCTTAGGGAGGACTCAGTAGCCTGCTGGGCTCTGAGTCCCTCCCAAGGTTCCAAAGGGAGGACACTACCCTCAGAGGCTGACTAGCCAGTGGACAAAACCCCAGGGGCTCACAGATGCATGCAGAACATGAGAGTTCATGGGCTGCCAATAGCTGAGATTGAGGGTCTGCAAAGGCAGAACTGGTGGAGCGGGGATACAGCAAGTGTGTGCCAAGAGGCCAAAAAGATTTAGAAAATATCCATGTTACCCTCGGTATTCTCCCTGTACTAAATTGATGGTATGTTTGCTGAGCTTACAAGTAAGGTAATTTCTAGCACTCCTTATCAGGGGACCTCACAGTGTGGCCATGGCCAGCACCCACGTCACCTGGGAACTGTCAGGCATGCAGAGTTCCAGGCCCTAACCTCTCCTTCAAGGGAATTCTGGGGTGGTATCCAGCCTTCTGGGTTTTAACAAGCCTCTCAGGTGATTTTAGGTGGCATTGAACTAGCCTCACAAAAGCTCTGAGAGGTCCTGCTGTAAACAAATCCGTGTCTTTCATATCTACATGGCCACAAGACCCTGTTGTGGCATGAGGTCAGTTAGGTCTCCTAGGAACAAGCTTTAGGGAATGAGAAAGAATGTGGGCTTGGAGTCTGGCAGACACTGGTTTGAATCCCAGTTCTGAGACCCAGCAGCCTGGGCAGGCACAAGCTCATCATATCATTAGGTGGTTGTGAGTTGTATCTGCGTTGAGTTCAGTTCCAAGTTCAGAGCAACACCCACCAAGTTGTGGTGCTGGCCACAGTCACATTGACCAGTATGATGAGAGTCATTCTGGTGTTACCAATACAGTTCAGGCACAGTTCATGTGTCTTCTTTATGCCCTTTATCCACCCCTTTCTAGCACCCTGCTGACATAAATCTCTTTGGTCTGGAGATAACAGGCCGAATCCAACAATTTCTTCCACATACCTGTATTCTCAAATTGAATGCCCTGACCATTTCCTGCAAAGTTTATGGCCTTCAATGAGGCTTCCTGCCTGCTGCCTGGCTCTGTTAACTGCTCAATGCTGCCTTTTTATGGGGAATGAGAGGAACACAAACTCAGGATAGCCGGGATACATGGCCTTATCACGAAGCTGCCCATAGAGTGAGGCAGAGAGAGCCCACTCCCACATGGACAGCAGGCTATGTCAGGATTCACTCTCCTGCTTCTAGGAGATAAACAGAGGGTTACGTAAGAAGCCCCAGTTATGATAAGCAAGGTGTTCTAACACAGGCCTGGGAACACAGGGATCCCAGCAAAGTTACCTACTGTCTCTGAAACCCAGATCCTCACCTGTAGGTGGATTTGGTAAAATTCACCTTACCAGGAAACAGTGTGAATTAAACAAACACCCTGACAGTGTGAGCATAGTGTTTGGCATATAGCAAGTGCTTAATCAACGTGGAAATGGAATCTGCCAATCCTCCTAGGCAAAATGGCCATCCACATTGCCCCCAACTGTCAGGGTCCAGTTTAGTTCAAGCATTTACCGACTCGTTCACAGATCACAAACCTACTGAGTGCCTACTACCTCTCTCAGTGGCACCTGCTGCAGACAGAGCTGAATGAGACCTCAGCATCCACATAACGAACATAAATTCACTAATTACATAATTAGGTACTGAGTTAAAATTGTGGCTATGGCAAGGAAGGAGAAATCTGTATTTCAGAACCCATCCGACCCAGCCCAACCAGGACTTTCCTTCAGATTCCCTGCCTATTTTCTGGTTGGGGATTCTGCCAAAGTATTAAGTATTGTTTACGTCTGAGGTGTGATAAGTACTTCCTAAAGTTAACTGTAAACAAGGACCAGGATCTCAGAGTACCTTTGCCCCAGTTCTCAGATCAACATCTCTTTCTTGGAAAAGACACTTTGGAAAAGCAGAACTCTCCCATGAGATTTCCTTCCAAATTGGAATTCTCCAGAATTTTCCAGAATTCTAATTCAAATTCTCCAGAATTTCTCAAAAGAAAGACAGCTATCTGAGGGCGCATAGAGGGCAGGATTGGGGTGGGGCAAAGGAGGTCAGTTTATGAAATATGGTAACTTTTTTTAAGTCCTTAGGACATGTACTTATCCTGAGAAATAGGTCTTTTAAATATCACTTATAAATGAGCAGTCAATAATTTTTGTGTTTTATCTTAGAATTTGTAGCTAGACCCAGGCATGGTGGTGCATGCCTATAATCCTAGCACTCAGGAGGCTGAGCCAGGAGGATCACCATGAGTTTGAGGCCATCCTGGGCTCCATAGTCAATTCAAGGCCAGACTTGACTACATAGTGAGACCCTATCTCCAGGAAAAAAAAAAAAGAATTTTCAGCTAGAGCTGTGTGAAGCCCTAGTTCCTGGGTGGCAGTCCCAGACTGCCAACAAGATACAGCTGAGGACAGAAGACACATGAGGAGCACAGAGCCAGCCCTCTCTGGTGGTAGCAAGTCCTTGGGCTTACACTTCCCTGGGTTGTCTGGCTCACCGATGACCATCAGCCTGTTGCCCAGCAAGGCAAATAATACACTGGAAGACCCATGAATTGGGTCTTTTATCTCCATATGTCAAATAGTGGCCAATGAGGCCACTTAGCTGATGTCTGGGGAGAACAAAAGGTAGAGGGACCCTAGGAGCCCTAAACATAGTGAGCGTAAACACACATGTTCCAGGCTCAGCTAGCCCTTGGGGGCAATGTGAGACACAGCAGTCTGTGAGGCTCTCAGCAGTGGCTTCTCTGTGTTTTCTCAAATTGGCCCCCAGTAGCTCACTACCTGATGGGTAACCCTAATCATCAATGTGACCGGATGAATCCTGGAGAGGTAATGGGATCATGGGGGTGCTATGCTCATTTGAGAATTAATCCACTGCTGTCCATGGCTGCATGTGCTGTTAGGAGGTGGGCGCTGCTAGAGGTAGGTCCCTGGGGATGTATATGCCTTTGGGCAGCACCTCTCTCCGGTGCTCTGGTTGTGCTGTCCAGCTGCCATGATGTGAGCAGCTTGCATCCCCCAGGCCTTTCCACCATGATGCTTCTGCCCTGGAGCCAGATGACCATGGCCTGAGCCTCTGAAACTGTGAGCCAAAGAAACCTCCCCTCCTTTAAGTTGTGGGTGCTGGGTATTTTGTCCCAGCAACAGGAAAGCTGACTAATACATCCCCACCAGCACATCCACCACACTGTTACTAGAGGAACTCTCCAAAGCACAGTGGGCTCCTGTGACACCTCTGATGGCAAGCCTGCTCCCGTGACCCTTAGAATCAAGTTCTGAGTCCATGGGTTTCTCCCTCACAGGGACCTTGTTCTCTGCTTGCTTGACTTCCTGGGGCTTGGCCGATAATGCAAACTAGCCAGCATTTGAATGATGAATGAACAGACAGCCTGGCTTTCCTGGAAACTCCCCCGCTGTCCTCCTGGCCTTGAGTCCCCCACTCCTCCACACCTCGCTGTCACTCACACAGTATGGTTTTGACTCCTCTGACTGCACCATGCTCTCATAAACTTAGGTCTTTCTCTGCATGTGTGCACCTCTCTAGTGGGGAGCACATCATTACCTCAAAGCCTCCTAGTTATTCTTCATGCTCCAGCTGGCCCCTTTTTGAATCCTGCACTTACCCCCAAATCTGGTTAGATGCCCTTTCTCTGAGTAGTCACATCATGCTTACCTGTGCCCTCCCCTGGACAATGAGACTTTTAAGGGCAATGACCTAGCACAATACTGGCATAGAGTATGAACAAATACCTGCTGAATGCATGAAAGCATGTCAATGCATGATCACAGTGCAGTGTGACAGGGCCCTGAAAGGACATGATGCAGCCCTGGGCCAAGGCCATTTCAGCCATGCCAGAGAAACAGGGGACACTCACATATTCCACTTCCTTGGCTGGGTCACCGAGGTTGCCATTGGTGGTGGGTGCAGTGGTCTCCATACCCTCTGGCTTGTCCTGGTTCTTCCCTTCCTCTTTGGGCAAGCCACCCTGCCCTGGGAGGGCCACTTCGCCCACCCCCAGGGCCTCGCTCTTATACTGCTTGACAAACTCTTCCATCACCATCAGCTCATTCTCCAAAAGTCCACGGCAGCGCGAGGGGTCCTGGTCATAGATGGGGAGCTGATGCATGAGCTGGCGTCGGCGGTAGTAGGCCCCCTCAGTGCCTGTCACTGGCTGTTTCTCCTTGGGAATGAGCTCCATGTACTGCAGGCCCTGGTGGGGAGGGGAACAGTGTCGCATGGGTGGGGCTCTGAAGCTTTCAATGTTATTAGCAATTGCAACTACTATCATCCTTTTTGAAATTTTGTATTGCTTTGTTTTCAAATTACAAAAGCAATATCTGTCCATTCTCACAAATAAGAAAACACAGATGAAAAGAAAGGACATAAAGGAAGATAGGCACTTTCCGGCTCTGTGAACAAGGAATGTTGTGAATCTGCATCTTGGTGACAGTGACAGTGCTGTGGAAGTGTGTCTGCCTCAGAGTTGGTCACACTGTGCACAGGAATGCATGCCCTGTACTGTGTGTGTGCTGCATTTGGACTGAAAAAAGCACTTAAAGAATTCTGCCTCATTGGCCACAGCAATGGCTTGATGCCCACTTGTGTTTAACCAGCCAGAGCTTTTCCTATGTGTATTTATTAAAACTTACTTGAATGCTATTTTCTGAGTGTGTGTGTGTGCATGTAAGTGTGTGTCTATATGTGTGTGTGTGTGGATGTGATTTAAAATGAGTCTTCTAAGACCAGGTCCAATTCCCTGATGGTTTTTATAGCCTGTGTTCATGCTATAGGAGACAAAACTTTTCTTTAGCAGTGCGGGGGATGGAACCCAGGGCCTCACACGTGCTAAGCAATTGCTTTGCCTCCCCAGGCCCTGAGTAACCAGCTGTATCTCTTCTTGCCAACAATCATTAGTATTGTACTATTGCTTATTCCCCAAACACTTAATGTAGCACTCATCTTTGGATGGCATTGGGAAGAGAAAGTTGATCCCTATTAGTTTATATTTGTATCAGAATGTGGAAAAAATATCATTTTGCTTTGTGCTCTGTCTTGCAAGTATGGTAATGATTATAATTTTGCCTCTATCACCAAAGAAAAGTTGCTACTTTTATTCTTTTTTTTTTTGGAGGGAGGTGGTTTGAGGCAGGGTCTTGATGTGTAGTACAAACTCATGGCCTCAAACTCATGATCCTCCTGCCTTAGCCTTCCAAGTGCTGGGATTACAGGTATGTGTCACCAAACTTGGCTGAAAGTTGCTACTTCTGCACCTTTTCTCTGATACCATTTCCTGGAAGGTAGTCAGCTGATAAAACCCTTACAGTGTAATGGCCACAGTAATGCAAGGTAACTAGCCTCCTATGACCTGTGCCCACCTGGGACTGTCTTTTTACTGGTTCTACAGCTGATGTGCCTGATTTCTACCTCCACTCATTGCTCCCTGGTGAAAAGCTTTCTCTTATCTTTCCTGTTCTTACAAGCAGCTTTGGCCATATCAATGTCAATATCAATAGATATTCCTTATCTATTTCTGCTATACTCAAGCTCACCTTCTTAATGGCTTCACCTACCCCCACTGGGCAGGCAATGTTCCTTCTACTTTAATAGCAAGAGTGAAGGCTCTGGACTTGGCCTTTTGTGAACTGAAATCCTGGCTCTAGGCTGTGTGACTAAAGCCACTTTACATCCTCTTTGTGCACAGGTCAAATGAGGAGCATAAAGCCTAGAGTGGTTGTGGGATTCAGTAAGAGATCTTAGCATCTAAACCACGCATGTTACTGATTTTTCCCTCCCCTTCCTCTCCTATCTGTGATTTTTCCACTGTTTGAAATCTGTGACTGCAGCTAGACACACTAGATGCATATTTCATAGCAGTCTTTCTCCAGTGACACAGTATGTGACAGCCATGGTTACTGCGAATGCAGATTCTCAAGCACCAGACTGCAGTCAAGATCTTGTACAGCAGGTGAGGTGTGGGGTCCAGGAAATCGCATGTTGAACAGGCTCGGTTTCTGAAGCAGAAAGTTGGCTTATGGACCTCACCTAAATTACTGCTTTAATGTGACAGTTTTGGAGGTTCCATCCATCATCAGGCTGACCCATCGCTTTTAAGCCCCTGGGGACAGCATGTCACAGTGGCAAGAAATGTGTGAGATTAAACCAGCTGTGAGCCCAGGTAAAGACCTGAGGCCAGGTTGGTGCAGGATCACTAGTGGCTTCAGGTGGCTTCAAAGCCCTGGGACATTCCAAGAAGAAATGTGGTGAGTTTTAGGAACACACAAGAGGGGCGTAAATGAATGTTTACTCTGCCCAAAGCTGTAGCCACAGATTCATGTTCTCAACAAGAACAGCTCATTCTAGGTGTATATTATAGATTTGGTGCTTTGCAATGTGGGTCTTCTTCCTTTAAGAGCAATATTTTTGCTTCATTTAACTCAAGGGCAATACTTCTAATTCTAAAAAGTCAACAGAGTTTAAAATTGCTTTTCTTAGAAAAGTGGAGATCATTATGGCATAAGGTAGTTTGTGGTTTATTAGTTTTCAAACATTCAAAGGCGCCTTTTAAGAGTAGACAAGCTCTCAGGTCCATGTGCCACTTCCACATCAATATGGCTAGCAAGTGTCTGAATATTCATGGATTTGCAGACAACTGTCTGATTTGGCTTTTTTTTTTTTTCTTTGATGAGCAGAGATCCATCTGGGTGGTTCCAGGTTGGGGGAAGGTTAGGGGAGACGCAGTCTGGGGCCACATCTCAGTGTGAGCAGCTGAGAGGCAGACTGTTTAGTCTGGATGGCAGATTTCCATTTCTGTTCTTACTCCTGACTTGGACCCTGCTACCAGGTTGGAGGACCCCTCTTGTCCTGAGTGGCCACTACCATGTTTATGCTTTGTGAACCCACCTGCCCCACATCTCATCCCAGGACTGGCCTCACTTTGGAGTTATGGGAATCAACATGGAAATTCACACTAAAAATGCTAACAAGCAGTCTCAGCTGTTGTCTGGTTGTAGGCAGTAGGGATGCTGCTTTGGACTTGAGTGAACCCCAGAAGTCCATGTGTTCAAGTCTTGGTACCCAGAGTGGCACTATTGGTAGGTGATGGACCCTTTAAAAGGTAGGGCCTAATGGGAGAAAGTTTGGTCATTGGGGTCATGCCCTCCCAGGGAATAGTGGGACTCCAGGCTCCTCCTTGCTCTCTTTGCTTTGGCTTCCTTGGATGGATGTGGTAAACGTCTTTGCAACTATGCCATCCTCTTCCTAGTTGTTGCCAGGGCCAGTGCCCAAGAAAGGAGTTTGAAGTATACACAAGAACTCTGTCTACCCTGGGTGAGTAGGCACCAACCTAGCCAGCATCTCACTAGTTCTAAGTATTGACACAGCCCCAGTCACAGGCTGATTCAAGGTATAGAGGAATAAACATTTTCCTATAAAACACCTCACTCCCTTCATTCAGTGGTCTACAGAATGATAGGAATGGCTAACATTCAGGTACAGCTTCCTATGGTTTCATTAAATTAACCCATTTACTTCTCACCTAGGATGAAGATACTAATGCTACCCCTTGAGAAACTGGCACAGACGATGGCACAGAAAGGTTAAGTAAACTCCTGAAGGTCACACAGCTAGTATGTAGCAGAGACAGCTTTGAACCCAGAAGCTTGGGTCTGAAGCCCTTCTCTGTTGCATTACCTGGTGCCACTCAGTGACCTTCACATTCACAGTGTCCTTTCGTAGCTCCATGCTGGCCCTGGGCATCTGTGTAGATGGGAGCTTGGCCAGGATTTAGAGACAGGGAAATTTCCTTTCTGGGATCCAATATTCCTGATGCAGCTCAAAACTTCAGCTGAGCACTGGTGCTCTGACTTTCCATTGTCAAGGCCACTCTGTGTGCTGCGACACCTGGCTGGCCTGGGGCTCCCAGCATCCATCAATACAGCATGATGCCTCAGGATGTCCCTCCATGTGGCCCTCACTGTTGACTAGCATGGACTGTGGGAAGGGAAGGACAGGGACAGAGCACTGGGTCCCACCAGTTGCCTGTGGCTGCTCTGACTCTGGAAGAGGATCTCCAGGTATCTCCCAGGAGGCTGACCAAGGAAGGCCATGTTTCCCAAAGCTTTGGCAAGAGGCATCATCTCAGACCAGTGGAAAAGGCTGGTTTAGGTTTTAAGTTTGTCCTAAGGACCTTTCTGAGTTGTCTGGTGTTATGTGAGGTGTCTGTGGTGGGGAAGTTTCCAGATTCTCTTTGTATCAGGAGAGAAATTAAAAGTACAGAGAGGAAAGTGGCAGGCCTGGTACTGTGTTCCCTGTGCTAGGCTCAAAGTTCAGCACACCCAGGCCTGAGCCTTCTCATCTGGATTCTCCTCCTGCTATTAGCTAAGGAGTAGATAAACAGGCTTCACTCCACAGGCCACCCCAGTAAGCAGTGCCCACTGGGAGGGCTCAGGAGACAGCGCCCTAATTGACAGCAGCCTCTGCCACGGGTTGGGCAGAGGTGAGGTGTGGTGAGCACCGACCCGCACAGGCTCCTCGTAAGCCTCTCTGCTCCCCTGTAAAATGGGGCCGTGACATACTTGGCACAGGAAGTGGCAAGGTGTTCTTGTGATGCACACAGAGCCCACAAGATATTTGTGTCCTCTGTCTTCTCCCTTTGCCTGCCCCCAAATCCCAGTTAGCTTTCAAAATTTCTTCCTCTTTCTGCAAGCCTTCCCTAAATATACCAGCCCACTACTCATACTTGCTCCTTTCTGCCTCCCCTCCCACCTGCTAGTTCTGGTGGCTGGATGGAGAAGAACCCTGGCTTTGGAGGCAGGGAAGCCCAAGTTTAAGTCCCTGACTCTGCCACTTAAATCAGCTGTGTGGCATCTGGTTATGTACAGCCCCTCTCTGAGCCCCACTTCCCTCTGTGCAGATGAGTGGGATAACTGTACATCTCTGCCAGTGTTGAGAAATTAGATGAGATGGCTCTTAGTGGCTGGTATACAGTAAGTGCTTCATAGACAGGAGCAATCAGGGTTTTAGTTTTTACTAGCTTAAAAGGCTAAAGAATTTCTCTGGCCTTCAATTTGGTTGGGATGTATAACAGACAGCAAAATTCTGTACCATTTCCAAAATGTAATCAGTCCTGATCACTTGGCAATTACAAAAATTGCTAGGAAAGTGAGTGGGAAGGGAGAGCTGGCCAATCTCAGAAATGTGGCTTGCCCAGGCAGACCAGCTGCAGGGCAGATGTGGGGGCTCTTGACAGTCATGAGTTTTTACAAGCCAGCAGTAATCACGGCCCTGTGATTCCTCCTTGATTAGTCTGGGGCCACAGTTTGGCCTTTTCACCAGCCCATTCTGGATCCCTACAGCCAGCTCCTTTATGAGCTGCTTGCTTAATTTCCGCTGACATTGTGGAGACCCACTTGATAGCTTACCCAGACCGGGTGCTGGAGGCAGGGCCGAGTTCCAGAACACCCGGCATGTGCCCACTCTGCCAGGGCCTCTGTGGCCCACGACCAGCCTGCCTGCGAGGTGCAGGGCCAGTAAACCTCCTCTGCTTCCTTAAGTCTAAGACTACTCCTACCTTATGGGTGGTGGAGCTCCTGAATGCTGTGGTGTTTAAACTGTGCTTTATGCATTTCAAAAAGTATAATTTAATTTTATAAAGCCTTAGCCTCTCTTCACTTTATCTAGGAGGGCTACCCTACCATCCTCTTAAGTGACAGCTTAGAAGTGTGCTCGTCACACTCCTCGTGCTAAAGGACTAGGGTGGGTCTGGTTCGCCACACTGTGCAGAATGTTTCGTGGCGTCACTGTGCATGATGAGATGCAGCTCATGCCTCTGGAGAGCCCAAGTGGATCTGACGACAGCCAGAATCTGTTCAGTGAGATGAGGCCTCCTCTCACATTCAGCTGGCTACCATGTTGCTATAAACTTTCTCCAACATCCGTTTGCAGTGTCTGTACTTTCCTCCTTCTACACCAGTCGGAAGAACTTTGGGGAACAGTTTCGGTCTATGGACCACACTTGGAGTCTCTCACTGGAGGGTGATGCTCCACCTATATACTTCCCATGTGGCCTGCTGCTATGAGTGTGCCCCTGAGGCCCCTCTGATAAAGGTTTGGTCCCCACAATGGCACTCTTGGGAGGCAGTGGGACTTTTACCAGTGGGGCCTGGTGGGTGGTTCTGATCTCTGAAGATGTGCCCTAAAGGGGACTGGGGATCCTGGTCTCTTCCCTCTTTCTCTTTGCTTCCAGCCATGAGGTGAGTGGTTTTGTTCTGCCTAATGCCCCTGTTGTGATGTGTTGCTCCACCACAGGCTCCAGAGTAATAGGGCCAAGAAGTTATGGACCAGAGCCTGCAGCACTATGAGCTTTTTCTAAGTTGATTTTCTCAAGTATTTTGTTATAGTGATGGAAAGCAGACAAACACTTGCATTGTGCTCAGTACTGGGATGTCATGGTATGACTTGGGGTCTGCCCTCATGGCTTCACATGGCTCTAACATGCAGAAGAGATAGTAACTAAACACGAAGATGTATACAAAAATTACTACTTGCAATAAAGCCTCCAAAGAAATGGAAAAAATCTGAGCATGATGATGCATGCAAGTAATGCCAGCACTGAGGGATCCTGAGGCAGGAGGATGGCAAGTTCAAGTTCTGTCTGGGCAACTTAGTGAGACTTTATATCAGAATTAAAAATAAAAAGGCTGGAGGATGTAGCTCAATGGTAGAGCATTCCTGGGTTCCATCCCCATGCCTCCCCCCAAAAGAAAGAAATGGAAAGAGAGACAAGGTGTAGGAGGATGTGTAGTATCTATCCCTAAATGGGGTCATCAAAGAAGGCCCACTTGCCACCTGACTGTCAGAGGACCCAGCCACCAGAGGGCAGGGAAAGAACAGTGCAAGTAGTGGGAGAAGCAAGTACAGAGCCCCTGAGGAGGACAAGAGCTTGGTGTGCTCCATAATGGAGGGGGGAAGTCAGTGTACCATACAGTGTTGAATGATGGGGGAGTAATAGGAGCCATGGAAGGAACCTGCTGAGAGAGGACCATATAGTACTCCACAAGGTCCTTTTCTCTTCCAAGACAGACTCATGAAATGCTAGGCATGTATCTAACACTGTGGAATGTTTTGCTCTTGTTTTTAAATCTCATAACTCTGTGGAGGTTACAAAGCTCCTTGCTACTCCAAGTATGGTCTGGAGCCAGCCACAGCCGTGTCACCTGGCAGTCTGCAGACATGCAGCTTCCCAGGAGGGCCCTAAACCTACAGGATGCACTTGAGTGAGCTCCCAGATGACCTTTACATGTAGTGAGGTCTGAGAAGCCTTGGGCTGGGGCACTGGTTCATAAAGGTGGCTGCAGGCAGTCACCTGGGGAGTCATTTAAAGTGAATTCAGTACTCTGGATTCTGCAATGTGGAGCACTAGATTCAATGAGGAAAATAAGTTTGGTTCTCCCTTCTAGGACCCAGAGTCTGCCGCTTCTAGGAAGAAGGGAGGACTATTTCTTCCTCTCCCGAAGGCTGGCAGAGGGCATATCTCAGGCCACTTTGTGGGGAAACAAACATCTCACAGACAGACATGAGTACTCAGAATTTTGAGTGATGAAGCATCCCCTGGTCAGCAGTGAGGGGTCCAAAGCAACAATGAATGCCCTGTACCACAGTTGGAAGACTGAGGCCCGGAGAGTCTTCACTTCAGGAGCAGATTTGAAACAAAGGCCACTCCTACCATTTTTGCAACCCTCCCCTCTTGCTACCTTGTCTTCGAAATTCAGGAGCTCTTAACATAGCTAATGTTTACAAAGACAGGAAAACACTCACTGGACTGGAAGAAGCACTTACCAGTTTCTGGGTAACTCCAGGGGGAGCCCACTCATAGGTGATGGTGTCAAAGGTGGGGTCTTTCCCAGTGGCAATAGGGTTGGTCATGATCATTCGGTTCCTCTTGTAAATGCGGATGCCATCCCCTCCTTTCACCCTGGCAGTGAGGGTAGAGTACTTGGAGTCCATCAGCAGGCGGCCAATTTTCCGATCATCTTCCAGGTCAGAGGTTAGGCAGTGGTCTTCCTGGCTGCATTTGCATGATTTGCATATTTTCCTGGGGTGTAGGGAGGGGTAGGAACAAATGAGATCAACCTCCAGGAGTGAGACCTGCCAGGGGAGCCTCTGCCCCTTTGAAAGCAAGCTCACAGACCACCTTTGTTAACTTGGAAAGGCAAGCAGCAGACAAATGGTAACTTGACACAGTAAGACTTTAGAGATCAGGAAACCTATCAGTCTATCTGTAAGGAAAGCAGGATGTAAACATTATTAGAGAAGCCTGCATTGCCAAGGCAAAGGCTAATTCATTCCCTACTGATATTCTAGAGCTGGAGCTTCTTTGGCCTGGGGCTTGAATCTAGCCCACAACCTGCTTTTTGTAAATAAAGTTTTATTGCAATTCAGTCATGCTCATTCATTTACACACTGTCTATGGTTGCTTTGGGGCTAGAATGACAGAGTTGATATTTAGCCATCTGGCCTACAAAGCCTAAAATATCTGCCTTAACACAAGAAATTTGCTGACCCTTGCCCTAAATACTTATTGACATTGTCTCCCAAGATTTATAAGCTTCAGAACTCCAGCAAACCTTAAAATGCTTTAAAATGCACCCAGAAGTGAGAACCCAGTGGGAATTTTCTTCAAGAAACTAGTGGAAAGGGCTCAGAGAGAAGGGAGCAAGTTGATAAAAGCCCTTCAGCTGGAGAAATGGATGTCTGTAGGAAAGCTCTGTCAGGAGGCCGGAGAAGGAAACATATCTTGGGGAAAGTTCAAGTTCACTTGAAAGCCTGATTCATCCCTCTGACAATTAAAAGCATAAAGTGTTTGGCTGCTTTGTGTCATGCTGTCGAGGTTTAGAAACCCAGAGAGTTCCACAGTGTGAGAGGAAAACTGCTCCCTGCCCTTGCCAGCCTGTCACCATAGGCCTGCTGTGGTATGTTTCAGATCCTGCAGGCTGTGCAACTCAAGAGCTTGTTAAGTAAAGTGAGCAGTGTCAAGACCAACCACAGGCATGAGGAAGGCCAGGCAGGGCGGGCTGTGCCGCAGTTGTACTATCACAGCGTGGAAGGTTGATCGAGTATTGTACTGCAAATACTGACTGTGGAGCTAGCAGAGGCTGCTTCGATGTTCTGCATCAATGATTCTTCAACTTAGGTCACTTCCATCCCCCAGGAGGTATGAAGCAATATCTGGAGATATTTTTAATTATCCTAGGGATGATGGAGGTGCTCCTGGTGGCACTGTCTAGTGAGCAGGACCCTGTGATCCCCAGCACAGCTTCCCGCGTGGAGAATTTTCATGCCCCAAATGCCAATAGTGCTAGGGTTAGGATGCTGTCATCTACATGGAAGGGAATAAGCCCATTGCAAACTCCAAGCTTACTGACAGGACAGGAGAAGAAGAGAAAAGCATAAGGGAACTGTAACAGAAAGCAGACTAAGGTTGGGCTAGGACAGAAGTACCTCTGGTCTGGGGTGTTTCTGGCCCAAGCAGCTCTGCGGGATATTAACAGGTGACACACAGACAAGGGCTTAGCACTCCGTAGTCATGAGCTGGGGGACATAGTGGGCTAAAGAAAGCTAAACACTTTCCTTTAGCATAAGGCTACTCCTTGTCTTTGATACACTGATGTGCAGTGTGGCATCGCAAATGTGTCTAAATTCACATTCAGTGAGCAGCAATGTGAGAAATGTTAAAGCCCATGATCTCAAGGATTCATTCTAGTACAACAAAAGAAAGATGACCCTAAGGGTGGACACTGCAAGACAAGGGTGAGAAGTCTTCTCAGCCTCCTAGGAAGGGGTTGCCTGTTGTGAAAACTGGGGCTTTTTATTCATGACCCATAGCACCCTCTTGCCTCTCCCTTCAGTAGAGGAAGGCAAAGACAGTTCTAGAGGGTGTAAAAGCAGCAGCAACAGAAGTGGCAGGAGGGGGAAGAAGGAGGCAGGAGAGGAAAGCCCACTGTGGGAGGATACAGGGCAGCCCTGACCCAAGCCCTCCACGTGCTGTCTGTCCCTCTGTCCCCCATATATGGAACTGGATGAGGAAAATTCCCTGTGTTCTTTTGGTTAGTGTGGAATTTCAGGATGCTATTAGAGATGTTGGGAATGCAAAACATTTTGAAATGGAAAATGTTAACAAATATGAGATGTTCTTTGAGATTGCATCTACATTATTTTTCCCCTTATTTATGTTCTTCCAGACACACTGCTATGCTAGGACTTTATAAATGAGAAAGGCATCCTTCCCACTCTACCCTATCTTTTTCCAGGGACCCAGATTGCTGGAAACACAAATACATTCCAAAGGAGCCTTGATAGTATGAAAATGGCCATGGTTGCAATCTTCATTCACAGCCTAGAATTGGATTCTGTGCTCTGATGGTTACTGGAGGGACTTCCCTATTAAACTAGGCTGGCTGGCACTATTATAGGCAATTAATTTAGACAGAAATTAATATACAGTCAGAGAGCAATTGGGCTCTCAAGGAAGGCTGTGAAAAATAAAGACATCAGAATTATGGCTGGAGGCACATCTGAAGGGCAGGCCTCAAGATAGATATGTAGTGGCCAGACATACCTGCCTCCCTGAGGGATAAGCAATACCTTGGAATTATACTGTAATTAACACCACTTGGTCTAGGAAGTCCAAATAGGCATCATTGCCCAGGTGGGTATTCAGAGCATCTGGACCCAACCCTTCCCCCAAATGCCTCCCTATACCCTTGCTATGTGAGTCACTTTCCTATTTGACCAATATTAGATAAGCAGCTATATTTGTAATCCTATAGGTTGATTACAGTTTGACCTATATTATACACACAAACTCAGCACATCTGACATCTAACAGGTTGGGAGTTATATTTATTCTGTATCAGTATATTGGCCTTTTAAGTGGCTTTCAAACAATCAATGGTATGAAAATTGGATCATGGAGGTGTTTGATAGGATGTACCACTAAGGTTCTGTGGTGTCCTGGCTTCAACAGGGGTTGAATTTAAGTTCCTGTTAGCATTGTTGGAACCAAAGACAACATTTGATATGCAGGATCTATAACTTGCAGTCTGTATTTCTCAAAGAGAAACTCACTTGATATTCAAATCATTTGTAGGATGACAGGCTAATGTAGGGATTAAAATCTTGCTGAGACTTCTGCTGCTAGTCATGAAGAACAGGGTCAAGAGTTGTTCTCTCTCATAAATAAGCAGAAAACCAGACAAATTATGTAAAATGACCATTTTCAGATGTTGGCAAACAGGCAGCTCAGCACTGTGTTTCTTCACAAAAGGGGAAATATTCAACTATCTTGGTGGGTGCATTTAGGGAACATTTCCTTTTCCCATGAAATTTACAATGCGATCTCCTGGCTGTCTTGAAAGAGCTCAAGAGGAATCAACAGTATCTGAAGCCCTGGTAAAAAGATATAAGACCAACAGGGTTTAAATGATAGGTAAGTGGACCTCCTTCAAGGCCAGAAAGAGCTACAATGGTAGAAATAGAAGTATAGGGAGTTCTCTTCCCGAGTGTCTTTTAGTTGTAGAAGAAAAGTTTGCATTGGATGGGTTAGGTAAGCTTGAAGGGCCCTTCTATCCAGAAGATCATGTGAGCTCCTCTGAGGTTGAAGACTTTCAAGGAAGGGAGTTAATGAGTGGTCTCCTGCTTTAAAAGCCCACAGTCTACCATATTCCAGAATAGTGAAGAGCATGGGATTATATTTTATGCAGATCGGAGTTCAAATTCTGCCATTCAGTAGCTATCTCCTTGTTACCCACTTTCAGTATCTTGATCTATAAAATGGAGATACTAATAACATTACTGCTTAGGGTTATTCCAATATAAGAGATATTACTCAGTTTAAGTGACATTTTTTGTATTTGCCAGAAAATAGCTCTGAACTTTGACCCCCTATTGAGTGCTCAACAGACACTATGGCACTGACAAAATAAGGTCTTTGCTTCAGTGCTCCAGAGCTTAGGGTCCCTCTCCCAGGGCAGCATGGACAGTCACACAGGCTGTGCCCTGAACAACTCCAGGAGACACCATATACACAGGTGCTGGTGTGAATAATGCCACAGCATTGTATAGTATGGCAGCCTCAGCATTGCTGTCAGAATCCTCAGTAAAAGAGAAAGAAAACCTCTGTAAGTCAAATTGGATCCTATGGCCTTCCTGTGGGAATATAAATACCAGATTCTGGACTTAAAGGATTGTGACAGAATGACTTTTCCTTCTATCCCAGGAGCTACTCTTAGATCAGGACCTACCCATGGGGTTGATAGTACAGTGGGGTGAGATCAAGCCTGGCCACTAAACCCTTGGGCAGATGATCCTATCCCAAAGACACCCCTGCCCATCCATCGCTTCTCACAGCAAACCTTGCTGGCCCCGGCTTGTTGGCTTCCACCTTCAAATGGTTTAGGAAGCACTAAGTTCCTTCTACAAATCTGTGCTCCCCAACACCTTTTCTGAATTGGGCCCAGCAGGAGAGCTCTCCCTCCTCAGCTGTCCCTTCCAGTGATGCATGCATCCTAAGCAGTCCCAGCACGGGAACCTACAGGGTTCCCAGAAAGGACAGCCAAGACATGAAGGCAGGCAGAGTACCCCTCCACACCCATACTAAATCCGTTACCTCCATGAATGTGGCTCGAAGCCTGAACACGTCCCCTTGCATCTCAAGCAAGCCACAGCTCTTGCTGACTGCTGCTGGCCCAGGGACATCTGGAAAAGGAGACAGAAGAGGGTGTTTTCCTTTCAAAATCTTGGACCAGGAAGCTTGACCTCTGAAAGACTTGGCATACCAGCAAAGGGACTGTGTGGGGTTCAAAGGACTGAGATCAATAAGCCATCACTAACTGTTTACCAGGAACAGAGAAGACTGCTGGAAATGGGGCCATAGGGCTTGTAAATGTAGAAGGGTGGGGTCCTTCCCAATAAAAACAAAACTGGGACTTATTCCCAGCCTCCAGGGCAGTCATATAACACTGAGGCTGGCTGGCAAGGCTCTGCTGTGAGTGACCATTCTTCCTTTCCCCACACCATTACTCCTCATTTCCCTGTCACAGGAATGGAATCTTCCAGCGAGCATCTCCTTTTCCTCATTTAGTTCTAACTTATTGATAGCATGTAATTAAACCAAAGCTACAGGCACAAGCAAATGTATATGTTGCCAAATGTGTATGGCTCAAGGCATAACTTAAATATTTGGCTAACACACTGAAAATCTCATGAGCATTCAGAAATCTCCTTTGGAAGAAGAATAATGCACATGACAAGTTTGACTATTCATTACCACCCAAAGGTAACAAAAGCGCATTTGGCAGCTGCTGCTGTGTTTAGACACAAAAAGCTCTCAAATAGGGTCTTGAAATGCATCTTCCCAGACCTTGCCAAAAATGCAGACCCTCTTGCCGTATGCCAGCCCCTGTGAGCCAGAATTTGTATGTTAATCAGGTTCCCTGGAGGTGTGTATTACAGTAAACCTGAAGGAGTGATGGGTTGGCCATTTATGCTGATCTGTGGATTGAGAAACATCTACCGCTCCATTGCTTGTGAAAGCAGAGAGGATTTGATTCTGGAGCACACATTTACCATGCTATTATCACAAGAAGGGTACAGTCAACTACAGTAATTGTACAATAATGCAAAGGAATACACTGCTCCTTCAAAAATGCATTGAATCACTGACTATTTAACACCCACTAAATACCAGGCACAGGGATGAGATCAGGTGGGCCTTAGAAAAACTTGGTCTAGGTCAGCAGGAGGAGAGTAGGAAACATATACTAATCACTGGATTTAGCAGTGGGGAGGGCAGGGGAAGGGAAACTGCTCATTGTGTAAGAAGAGCAAGGTGTGGACTTTGGAGCCTAACATGCTTGGACTGAAAATCTAGCTTTTTGGCTGTATGCAACTTATTATTGGTTGCATGGCCCTGGACAAAATGAGCCTGTTTCCTTACCCACCAAGTGGATATAGAGATAATATATGCAAAATACCAGACCACATTAGGCATGAAAAATAACTATTATTTGGTGGTAGACTTCAGAAGTACAGAGGAAGATGTTAATAAACCCTAAGAGAAGTGTAGGGAGACGTTTAGAGGAGGGGACTTTGGATTGGGGTTGTGTAGGATGAACAGGCAGATAATGGGAAGAGGGCATGCCTAGCACGAGGAAGACTTTGGGTGCTGGCCAAAGGGTGAAAAGACATGGTGGGTGGGATGAAGTAATTGGAACATGCTCTTTGGAACGTTACTAGTTTACTCTGTTTGCTTATAGGGGAAAAATTAAGTAGAGAAAATTTTAAAACCATCCTCATTGCCAATGTTAGAATTCAGAGATAGGCAGGGAGAAACTGTTCTCCTTCACAGTAGCTCTCCTCTACAACCCAGATCTTGCCATAATAATGCCTGCTCCACATCTCCTGCTTGTCACCTTTTACACCCCATCTTCACACACTATGCTCTCCCGCTTTGTACACACTCACAGCTCTAGGGAGCAAGGGCTGCGTTGCCTGAATTTGGAGGGAAGCATGTCTGTATTTGTGGCTGCTCGGGACTAAATCTGTGTTAAATGTGAGAATTAAAGCAACTCTCAACTTTTCATCCTACAGTGGGCCTTTTCATTCACAGGTGAAACTGTTCCCTAAGGCTATTAGCATACAACTCTGTTCTTTTCCACACCTTCCTGAAACTTTGAATTTTACTAGTTGGAATATAGTGCTGTTTCCACACTTAACATTTGATTGATTCCAAGTTTATTTTGGAAGGTACATAATTTATGAACAAGGCCTCATTGTTGAAGTATTTCAGATATACCCAGAGGCCTAGAAACAGAAAGCTGTGAAGAGAGCATTTCATAAGTGGTACAGCACCCGGCAAGCCTGAGCATTACTGTTCATCTAATGAGAGGCTGATTTAGCCATCATCCTGCAGGAGATTAGTTCTGACACTCGACCTGGAGAACCACACTGTCTTGCGTCTGCTGGCTCAGGGTCTGGTTTAGACATAGTGACGTAAAGCAGAACAGACTGCAGAGCATCGGCCTGTGATGGTGACAGCCTCACAGTGCCAACGCTGGCATTCACTGGCTGTGTAACTGGAAGAGAGTCATTTCTTAGTGCACCCTAAGTGTCTCCCTTTTAAAATGAGAACACTGGCCTGGATCAGGGTTATCCAAATTGTATTCTGCAGGATATAGATTTTTTTGGTGATGGTACAAAGTGGTTCGTGGGTGGGCAGGAAGGAGGATTGCATAATCAAATAAAAACAGTGGGCACTGGATGTACAAAACCCCTGAAACATTACAGTGCCCCCCTGTGCTCAGAGCAACAGGAGAGGGGGAGAGCAGGCAGCTATTCCATGGGGAGAGATCTCCAGTGTGCATTTTAGTTCCAGTTTTCCCCTTTCTTCTGCTGCACTTAGGCTAGCAACTGGACTTGCTGAGTCTCAGTTTCCTCTCCTGTGTCATGGGGATAAAGGAATCCAACCTGCCTCATGAAATTACCATGAGGGTCAAACAAGATGCTGCATGGAACAGACTTAGCACATTTATCATGCACTGAGTGTCATACTTGCCATTACATCGGGTAAAGATGGTTTGAGAGTCTTTGAATTAGATGTTCTCAAAACATTTGTACAGAGCTTTGGCATTCTAGAGGGCCACAGAGGAACTACTTTCCTAACTGCACACCCCATAGGCTTTTTCAGTCTTCACTTTGTTTCTTGGATATAAGTATTGCCTCCTTGATTAGATTTTTTTTCAAAAAGAAAAAAGGAAAACAAAAAGCCTACAAACATTCCATATTTCACAATTATTAAGGAAGTTAATCCTGACCTTTACTCTTGATTAATTCAGTAGGCAAAACTGTTTCTAAGTGGTGTGCTACCCATCACTTGAAGAATACCATCATGAAAAATCCCCCAAACACCACGAAATCCCAGCGCAGTTAGGCAATTGATGGTACAGAAGGTGTGACCTACTGGGGCTAGGACATCAAACAAAACACAGAAGCAGGAAGCAGGAGGGCTCAGCCTCCATCCTGCTAGTGAACAGTTTTCACAGTGACAAAAGCCTACAGAGAGAGAAAGAAATAGCCTTGCAAGAAAGAAACAGATTGGTCCATCAGGCCACACTGGCAGCTGCCCTCCTGGCAGTGTACTTAACACAGCCAAGCCTTGCTCACTATGTGCCCTTTGGCCAGAGCCACACAGCCCTACTGTCTTCAACTCATAGAAAATGATGATCTGTTTACTGAGGAGGGGAAAACTTCAGCCAGAAACAGAGCTCCAAACAAGACCCTCTGTTTTATAAACAGTAGGTTTCTCTGATGTAGACTCTGTCTATTGACAGATGGCACCACATCTCCCACTGTCTCCCCGTAGCTGAGAACAGAAATGGTTTAAAGGAACCATCATTTAGAAAAAGCTTTCTTGGAATGAAGCAGCTAATCTGTCCTTTTTCCTGGGAGGAGGAAAAAAATGTTTTGACAATTTTCTTTGGCTCAGGTTAGTAGGATGTGGTTCATCTGCTGTTGTCATGGAATTGAACCATGTCAGGGACTTCTAAAGACTCAGATCATCCTGGGAGGCTGTGGCGATACAAGGAGCAGGGGTGGCTGAAGAACCCTTTCTCCTTTAAGCCTGGCCTTTAGGTGAACCCCAGGGGAGTCTTAAAAGATGGGGTGAGGGCATTACCAAGAACAACATAGCATTGAGAAGAGGAGGAATTTAAAATGGGAAATGCAGTGTGCAGTGTAGGGATGAGCATGGGGTGTAGAATTAAAAAATAAGGATTCTCTCAGCTCAACTTCTTCCTCCTTATGTGACTCACTTTCTTCCTCTAAAAATGGATTATTCCTGCCATTTTTTGTCTTAATAAGGCTGCTATAAGCACCCTGTAAGCATAAAAAGTTATTTGTCAAATGAAGTATTTAACTTTGTTTTAAAAATTATCCAGAGATTTGAAATAATGCAAACAGGTACGTGGCACACCCTTTCCATTTTATGGTGACAATATGACCTCCCTTGGAGGTACAGTCATTATTGCTTGTCAACAAATGTTGAATGACCTTCAATCTGAGCGGGGAAAGGCAACTTGCCCATTCAGAATGGTCTGGATTGGAGCTCCTCTGGAGGAAGGGATCGCCTAAGTTTACCCTTACCCTTACCCTGTACTGGCCTTTAATACAAAATGTTTGATCCTTCCCAATGATTCTGATAATAGCCAGGAGCACCCATCTTTCAGTAGAAAGCTAATGGACTGTCTAGATTTGCCTGTGTCTGTTTAATGTTCAGAAGTAGGTCTTTTACTACTAAAACCAGAAGCCAGGGACAAACCAGCACAGAGCTGGTCTCCTTAATTCAGTGAGCTTCCCAGGGGGTTCAAATTGATGTGCTGGAGCTTGGTTTGAACAGGGTATTCCTAAATTCTGAAATCCACATTTTAACTTAACCAAGTGTGCTAGAGTTCCATTTTTCAGATATTTTGGAAACCTCATGCTTCTTAAATAACTCACCTGAATGTCGGATTAAAATGTAGTCAGTGCTAGGAAGGAGAAACACAGCATGTCTGTGGCTGCACTTTAGTGGGTTTTACCCTGGCCTGGGTGTATATAGAGGGCAGTACTTTCCCAGTTAGTCAGACACTCTGTTAGCATAAAAGTCACATGGAACCTAGTCCAAGTGCATAGTCTGGTGCAGCAAGTGTGCAGTGAAGCTG